TCCACTTTCTTTAAAAGTGGGATGTAGTTTAGTTTGGTTAGATCTGCCAACTTGGGAGAGACATTAATTCCCAGGTATGTGATATTCCCTGACTCCAATTGTGTATTAAGCGAATTGACAAAAGAGAAATTAATTGGTAGAACTGTGGATTTTAACCATTTTATAGAGTAATCTGAAACTTTTGAAAACGAGTTTATCAGTTCTATTGAATGTGAGGGAGAGGATTGAGAATTCTGGAGAAAGAGTAAAACATCATCTGCATAAAGACTAATCTTATGTTCTATTTTCTTACACTTTATCCCTTTAATACCTGTTGTTTGCCTAATTGCTTCTGCTACTGGGTCGATAAAGATAGCGAACAGTGAGGGGGAGAGTGGGCATCCCTGCCTGGTCCCCGTCTGAAGACAGAAACTAGCTGATATTTGGTCGTTTGTCCTGACACGTGCCGTTGGTGAACTGTATAATGTTTGGAACTGGTGGGCTCCGAGCATGTGCTGACGGCCGATCAACAGATACACGGCATCGTTTGAAGCTGATGGCAGCTCATTAACAAACATCCACAAACAATTAGGATGCATTTTCGTCTAATTTATTTACAGACAATAAAAAAATAATCTGGTAAGTATAACTCACTAAACCTGGAGGTAAGTGGAGAAAATTTAGAATGTCTACAAAACTATATTGACGAAGTTTTTGAGTTTTTCATTATCGGTCCGAGGAAATCAGCAGCTGAGACCGAAACACCTGGGTCCAAGAGGAGCCGTCCTCAGGACCCACCTGAGGCCTCATCCCCCCGTAAGGACATATTAGAACTATTAGATTCTATAGATAAATGGCTTCTGGGATTTGAGGGGTGACTTCATCTGCTTGAGGTTCTACACCAGGAGTTGCAGAACCTCCGAACATCTTTGGAGTTCATTCAAGAGCAGGTTGAGCGGCTCGCAGCTGAGAACGCGTCTCTGCGGGAGTCCATTTCTTTCCTGGAAGAGGGAATGACGCGGATCACCCAGGACAACAAGATTCTTAAGGAGACGGTTTTGGACCTTCAGGCCCGTAGCATGAGGGATAATTTGGTGTTCGCAGGCCTGCCGGGGCAGACGGAAGGGGCGGAGAACTGTGAGAAAACAATCAAGAACTTTCTCCACACCCAAATGAAGATACCTGCAGAAACGGTAAAAAACATCACCTTTCACCGGGTACATCGCCTTGGAGCTAAAAGAGTGGACAGCAGAAGACCCCGTCCCATCGTGGCTAAATTTGAACATTTTAAGCAGAAGGATCTTGTTAAAAGCCACGGAAGAGAGCTCAAAGGAAAAGACTTCAGCGTAAATGACCAGTTCCCTAAGGAAATCCTGGATCGGCGCTGAGCCCTCTTTCCGCTGCGCAAAAGGTTTATCCAGGATGGGAAGAGGGCTATCATCTCGCTGGATAAGCTTTATGTGGACAATAAACTTTACAAGGAGCGAGGAGTGACTGACTGGCTGTATTAGCCCAACATCAGGTCAGACATTTATTATTCTTATCAGGATTCACTGGGTTTGATCACGTCAGGATTAAACAGCTGCTAAATCCGTATTCTAGATCAGCCTTTCTCAAATGGGGGTACGCGTACCCCTGGCGGTACGTAAAAAAACTCCAGGGGGTACATCAGAGAAGTAGACTGTTTCTAAAACAGAGCTTGATCACAGCAGTTGCCTCCCTGCCACCAAGGATGAAAAAGATCCTCAGTGAAGCACAAGCCCAAGTGTCTCACTAAAAACTCTGTAAAAACACTCCGATCAGTGCAGTAATGTTAAGATTTCAGTCTTCTTTTTGGTTTTTAAAAATATATTTTGAGATTTACATTTGTTTTTAGCAATTGTTATTTAAAATGACGTTGATGATTTCTTTTAGAGAACAGATATACTATGATCCCAAAAGAGAACACTTTATGTTGATATGCTTTTTATGAGCACAAATCTTTAATTATAATTAGCTTAATCATTTCTTTGGCCTGTATTTGATATATTCTTTTTAAATATTTCTAGCTATATATTTTTTTCTCCATATAGTTCAAGAGATACTACAAAAAATGTGCAGTGTTTTGCACATTTATGGATTTTTCAATGGGTAATCTTATGGTTTTAAATAGTTTTATGGTGACTGTTTTCAATTAATTAATTACAATCACATTTTAGTGATGAAATATATTTCCAATACATTTAATTATGGAGTATTAACATTTAAAATATTCAAAATAGTTTTTTTTCCCAAATGGTTGAATTTTGTACTTTATCAGTTTCAAAGTTTAATAAATCAGTCACTGAAGGCACCTATTTAAGGTCTTGTTTTTTACAACCAAAAATGTTTTTGCGCTGATTAGGGGTACTTGGCTGAAAAAAATATTTCACGGGGGTACATCAGTGAAAAAAGGTTGAGTACCACTGTTCTAGATGATGAGATCACCTGTTCATCGCCACCTTACACACCTATCACCTTTTCTTTTTAGTTCTTTCTTCTTTTTTAACCTGTATCTGTATTTTCCTTTCCTCTTTACCTGCTTATGTACCTTTACACCTGTATGGCAAAACCACACAACTTTCAAACACTGTGTCAGACTCCACACACACAGACACACACACACACACACGCACACGCACACACACACAATTATATATTAAATCCAAAGCATAATATCATAATTTATGCGTCAAATAATACAACCACAAACATTGTTGGATCTTTATTATTATTATTGTTATTTACTTTTCTGTTATTTATTAACATACTATTTAAACATTTAGGTACTTATTCCATCTTATTCACATGAAGGCGTCATATTTTAGCTACTCACACACACACATCTATGGGTGCACTAAAGTTTGTCTCATGGAACGTACATGGAACTGGCTCCATAGAGAAAAGTATAAAGATTTTTGATCAGTTAAAGAGAGTGCAAGCAGACGTAATATTATTACAAGAGACTCATAGATCTGCCACATCTGCAGATGAACTTAAAACACCTGAGTTCCCATCATGTTCTCTGCCTGCTATAACTCTAGGCAAAGAGGTGTAGCTATTTTAATAAACAAAAACATCAATTTCACAGTATTGGACACAGTCTCTGATCCAGAGGGTAGATTTATAATGTTAAAAATATCTATACAGAATCAAAGCTTATGTATTGTCAGCATATACTGTCCAAATATTGATGACCCTTCATTCTTTCATAATTTTTTCTCTGTACTCTCCGAACACTTGGACTGTCCACTTATACTTGGAGGTGATTTTAATTTTTGGATGGACACTTTAACAGACAGACTCAGTACAGCTGGGACTCAGCGCAATTGGCAATCCAGTAATATAGTTAAACAGTGCATGAGTGATTATGGGCTTTGTGATGCATGGCGATCTCTTCATCCTAACCGTAGAGAATATACTTTTTTTCACACGTCCATCACTCTCATTCACGTTTGGATTATTTTCTAGTCAGTAGCTCATTGTTGGCTGACATTTCAGACATTGAGATACACCCCATAGTTGTCAGTGACCATGCTCTGGTTTCTTTAACTCTGGTAAAAAAAGACAATCCCACCAAGCAAAAACTGGAGGTTTAATACATCACTGCTCAAAGACGAAGGTTTTATAGAATTTTTAAAAAAGGAGTGGACTTTATATTTAGAACATAATGACCTGCCTGGAACATCAGCATCTGTTCTCTGGGAGGCAGGAAAGGCAGTGATGAGAGGTAAAATAATCTCTTTCTCATCACATATGAAAAAAAAAACAGAAAACAAACGTATTCAGGAGTTAGAGGAAATCATTAAGTCTTTAGAGGCATCCACAGAAGAAGAGTTAATGAGCAAATTACGTAAAGCTTAATTAGAACTTCATGGAATTATTTACAAAAAGACACAATTTTTAGCACAAAGACTATGAATAGAAAACTTTGAACATATTAATAAATCAGGTAAATTTTTAGCTAGCCAGTTAAAAATGAATAAATAGAAAACTACCATATCTGCTGTTAAAGACTCAACCCGGAATGTAGTTTATGACCCTGAAAGCATAAACAACACTTTCAGAGAATTTTTCCAAACTTTGTACTCACCACAGATAAACCCATCAGATAACGAGATCAATGAGTTCCTTGACAGGATAACAGTTCCTAAATTATCAGACAGTAAAGTTACAGTCCTGGACTCGCCACTAACATTATCTGAGCTCCAGGAAGCCCTTAAATCCATGACAAATAGGAAAGCTCCAGGTCCAGACGGGTTTCCAGCAGAGTTCTACAAAGAATTCTGGATCATTCTGGCTCCAACATTTTTCAGAACGGTAAGGGAAATCGAAGAGAGTGGCAGATTACAGCCGAACATGAATTCAGCCAATATTAGCCTCTTTTTAAAACCAGGCAAAGACCCAGCATTTCCTACCAGCTATCGCCCAATTTCTCTTATTAAAGTTGATCTCAAAATAATTTGTAAAGCCCTGGCAAAAAGATTAGAGAAGGTAACCCCCTTCATAATACACCCTGACCAAACTGGTTTAATCAAGGGTAGACCATCATCCACAAACTCACGTAGATTACTTAATTTGATAGATTTCTCTTACAGTAGAAACATCTAAACTAGTATATTATCTCTAGATGCAGAAAAGGCTTTTGATAGAGTTGTCTGGAAGTTCTTATTTGCAACTTTACATAAATTTGGTTTTGGGAACTTCTTCATAAACTGGCTCCGCCCCTCTCTTGACCCATGTGTCCAAGACATGCGGCCTCAGATCAGACGAAACAACAACAAAGTCGATCATCGAGCTGCGGCCTAAGGTATCCTGGTGCCAAGAGCACATATGAACACCAGTCCAATAACAAAACACAGCTTGAATTCAGTTCGCTGGGCCGTTCCTCCCAACCACACCTCTCTAGGTCTTACTGTTGTTGCCCACGTGAGCGTTAAAGACCCCCAGGCGAACGAGGGAGTCACTGGAAGGAGCACTTTCCAGAACCCCCTCCAAATTCTCCAAAAATGGTGGGTATTCTGAATTGTAGTTTGGTGCATAATCATTCAAGAATCAGCTAATAGATCCACCATGGAGTGGTTGTGAAGCTTAGGTAACCATTAAATCCTGATTCATTTACCATTAGTTCCTCATTAGATGAGCCAATTTTGGGATCATTATTGTAAAGTGTTACCAAGACATTTGATAGGTCTTGGAAGTATTTGTTCATTTATGATAAAATAGCTGAATACTATGAAAAGCTGACATTGCTGCTGAGGCTATGGGCAGAGCACAGCGTCAGGGACTGAACAAGAACAGGTTAGCTGTTCCTGTGTTCTTAAAAAGTTAAGTTACTGATCCATTTAAAATATTCACACAAAATAATTTGTATTTCATTATCTGACTAGTTAAAAAATGTTTTGTTATGTTTAATTTTGAGAATGCCACTATTTTCCTTAAACTTTTTAATTATTTAAAAAATTGTAATAATATTGATGATAAAGAGAAGTCAACTTTTGAATGCAATGCATGTTAATATAGTAAAATAGCATTGTTAACATAAGCTTATTCACACATGGAAAGTATCGATGTTAACTAATGGTACTTTCATTGTGTAAAAGTAGCTCACACGCCAAAAAGAGGTTGGAGATCCCTAAAATATATAAATAACTTTTGAGTTTTTAACTTTTTTTATGTTTCAAGTAAGTGAGGATGGTGTCCTAAAGCTCCCTACGGACAGGCCTCTACTAGTCCATGGAGACTCCTAACATCATATGATGTTAGCCTGTTTTTGTTGCCTTGATGTTTTTGGCCGCAAGGGAAGAGTAATGTTAGTGCTCAGATCAAATTAGAATTGTGTAACGAAAATAAAGGATAAATGATCAGTGTGACAGGGTTCTGCTCAGACAGCAGTATCCATCTGATGATGGAGATTCAGATTGGAGCTGAGTTCTGTTTTCCACAACTCAACAGGTCCTGCAGGAGGCCAACACCTCACTGGTCTGAAGCTGTCCTCCTGAACATCGTTTTGTCCTTCTTCTCTCTGATCACAGCAGTTCTAAACCTCCTCATCATAATCTCAGTCTCCTATTTCAGGCAGATATTAAAAAGAAATCCATCACAATTATCAATATTTTTATCTGATCAGAATGTGATTCTAGGCTGCATAAGTTATTTTAATCTCTGACTGGCTTTGTTTCTTTGTAGGAAGCTCCAGAAACCTGCTAACATCCTCATCCTCTCTCTGGCTGTGTCAGATTTCCTTGTTGGCTTTTTAATCATTCCATTCGAAATCTTTAGAAAGACAAAATGCTGGATACTCGGTAATATCACATGTTTATTTTACTACTATGTTGCCTCTGTTTCTATCTGTGCTTCAACTGGAACCATCATTCTCATATCAGCTGATCGCTATGTGGCTATTTGTTACCCTCTGCATTATCCCACCAGAATAACCTTACCAAGAATGAAATGCTGTGTTTGTCTTTGTTGGAGCTGTGCTGCTTTCTATGTAACTTTCTTCTTAAAAGATATGCTGATTGAGCCAGGCAGGAGTAATTCCTGCATTGGAGAATGTACAGTATCTTTTGACTTTTTTGTAGGAACTTTTGATCTGTTTATAACCTTTTTATTTCCAGTTACAGTCATCATAGTTCTGTATATGAGAGTATTTGTGGTGGCTGTGACTCAGGCTCGTGCCATGTACTCTCACAATAGAAGTGTCACCCTTCAGCTTTCAGTGCAACAACAAACAAAGAAATCAGAGCTAAAAGCAGCCAGAACACTGGGTGTTCTTGTTGTTGTGTATCTGATGTGTTTCTGTCCATATTACTGCTGCTTTTATTTTATAGATAGTTTTACAACTACAACATTTGTATCATTCTTATTCCTTCTCATTTATCTTAACTCCTGTCTAAACCCTCTGATCTATGCCATGTTTTATCCCTGGTTCAGAAAAGCTGTTAAACATATTGTAACTTTACAGATCCTGAAGCCCGGCTCCTGTGAGGCCAACATACTGTAGATACTGTGGACTGAGGGACGTACAACCTCCTGAACAGTTTACAATTCTAAAATCTAAAGTCCAGTGAAGGAGAAAATAGTTTTTTTCATTTCCTACATTATAAACATAAATGTATGTAGAGAGCAGGGCTGGTTCTAGGCTGGCATATTTGAGGGGGCAGACAGAATTGTGACGGGGGAAGATTGTGGTGATGGAAGAGGAAAAGGTGAATTGGTGGTGCAGGTATTCCAGGATCTTTTAGTCATGTGATTGGATTGTATTTTGTTAGACTTTGATCTTCCCTTTTTTTCTCTGTCCCTGAAACCCTTATTCATGTATTCATCACAAATCAACTATAGCAATAGCATTTATATGGTATCCCATCCAAAGACCTCACCAAACTTCAAGACATCCAGAATTGTCCTGCCTGTCTCTTAACCAGTGACCACATCACCTCCATCGACTTCCTCTCTCTCAGTGCATAACATTCAAAACTCACTCAGAACTCACTCCCACAACCTCTCCACAACTGCTCTGACCTCTCCACCATCAAAACTCTGTTTTACAGTTTATGTTTTATTGTTGCATAATCTGTCTGTTTTACCTTGTCTTTTTACAAAATCTCTAAAGTTCTTCATTAATAAAATATATTATTCCATTTTATGACCCAAGACCTGTTCTACTATGAGAAAATCATTAACATCAGATCGACCATTCATTCCTCCATGTCAACATGCACAATCAGACCACAGCTACAGCCACACAGGTTTGTGGCCAGTTTTCAGTGTGATTACTGCTAAAACACTGGGGGACATAATAACGATCTTAAATTCATCTACCTGCTGTCTGGACACCCTGCCAACTAAACTTCTTTAAAATGTTTTTAGCTGTGTTAAACCCCGACTCTGATGTAAAATGTGTGAAGGGTGGGGGTTACAAGAAACAGGGGAGTGGAATTAAAAATGTGTTTGATTTGTCATAAAAGGTTCTAAAAACAAGAGAGCAAACAGATGGTGAGCATTAGTAAAATAAATGCCAATTGAAAACAAGATTAAAATGTTAACTTTTAAAAGACCAATTATCAACATTAAAAACACCTGGTTAAAACTTTGTTAATGGTTTTAACACACTAGAAGGCATTTTTTATACTCACATAGTGGAGGAGTACTTGGGGCAGGACCTCATCCCCTTTTGTAATTCAAGACCGTGGTCTCAAATTTAGAGGAGCTGATTCTCATCCCAGCTGCTTCACACTCGGCTGCGAACCGCTCCAATAAAAGCCGAAGATCATGTTTTGATGAAGCCAACAGGACCATATCATCTGCAAAAAGCAGAGACCCAATCCTCTGGCCATCAAATCGGATGCCCTCAACTCCTTTGCATGAAATCCTGTTCATAAGTTATGAACAGAATCGGTAACTGTCAGGACTCAGGTATCTCCCGGCTGACCTTCGGACCACAACTCCCGACATGCTCCTCGTGGGGAGCTCCCAGCGTGCTCCTCGCGGGGATTCCCTCCACGTCACAGCCAAGCAAGGCTATATATGGAAGACGCCGTGACCGGCTTCTCATCTCAGTCATCGTTTCTTCCTCACGGAGATACGACCAGAGAACTAATAAAACTATTAAACGTCTCACCTTGTTCGTCTCCTTCATCCAGTCTGATCAGCCCGACAGGATGATTGAGATCCGAATAGATTCGACGGAGATCTATCGTCTCCGCCACGAGAACGTGCAGCTGCGTTCCATGGTAGATCAGCTCAACACCAAGGTGAACTCCTTGTCCGACCACACCCTGCGTCTATCCACGGCTCTCACGGCTCTCCAACAACAGGCAAACGATCAGCAGCAACATATCGCTGCGCTCCAGCAGCCAACCCGCTCTGCTCCTAGGGAGGAGCCCCACTTCAGCCTGCCGGAGAGAAGGAACGGAGAGACGGGGAGCCCCGATGGTCTGCTCGCCACGCTGGACATGCAGTTCGAGTGCCAACCTGGACGCTACCCATCTGCGCGCTCCCGAGTGGCGCATCTCACCTCCCTGCTCTCCGGACGCGCCGCGGAGTGGGCTGCTGCGCTTTACAATTCCAAATCCCCTCCCTGCAACGACTATGCTGCGTTTGTGTCCGCTCTCCGGAAGACCTTTGTTCCCCCCAGCAGCGAAGTGGGAGCAGAGACACGCCTTCTCAAACTCCGCCAGCGAGAGCGCTCGGTGTGCGCTTATGCATCGGAGTTTCGCACCATCTCCGCCAAGCTGCAGTGGAAGGACTCCGCTCTGCGGGCTGCCTTCCTGGAGGGGCTGGCACCCTACATCCGTGATGAGTTGGCGGGAAGGGAGCTGCCTCAGACCCTGGATGAGGTGGTTGATCTGGCGCTGCGCATCGACCAGTGGGTTCTGGTTCGACCCAAGTTATCCACAAGTCCACCCAGGACGCCGGTGCCTCGCCCTCGTTCACCCACGCCAGCTCCTGTACCCATGCTGGCGGAGGAGCCCATGCAGCTCGGCCACCTGCCCCCCGAGGAGAGACAACGACGGTGGCGCGAGGGCCTCTGTGCCTACTGTGGCTCTCCCGACCACCGACGCCTGGACTGCCCGCTACGATCGGGAAACGGGGGGCCCCACTGAGTATTGGGGTCGCTCAGTCTGGGTCTTCTTCTACCCCTGTCGCTACTAACAGTCTCCTTATTCCTGTCACCCTCCTCCATGGTGAGGCCTCACTCCACGTAAACGCATTGGTGGACTCGGGGGCCGCGGACAATTTCATGGACCTAGATCTGGCAAAACGCCTACGGATCCCCCTACAACCCCTGGAGAGAGTTATACCAGTGACCTCGGTGGACGGTAGGCCTCTCCAACCCTACCCAGTCCGAGACCGAACCCAGTCACTCCGTATGATCACCCAAGGCCACCAGGAGACCCTCCATTTCCTGGTCATTTCTGCTCCCTCTTCTCCTCTAATCCTGGGGTTCCCCTGGCTCCGTCTCCACGACCCTCATATTTCCTGGTCCCAGAACCGCCTGCTGGGCTGGGGGACCTCGTGCCAGACCCACCTCGTTCCTCCTCCATTCTCGGCGGGTCTTCCGGACGGGGGCCCCGGCTCCACACCGCCCCACCTGCCGCTGCCCTATCGGGACCTGGCCGCGGTGTTCGACAAGCGGCGCGCCACCTCCCTGCCACCTCACCGGCCATATGATATGGAGATCAAGCTGCTACCCGGAACCAGTCCTCCCCGCGGGCGCCTTTTCTCTCTCGCGCCTCCCGAGACCAAAGCGATGGAAGAATACATCGCCCAGGCCCTCCAGCAGGGGTTCATCCGACCCTCCTCCTCTCCGGGTGCCGCTGGCTTCTTCTTCGTGAAGAAAAAGGAAGGCGATCTTCGCCCCTGCATAGACTATCGGGGTCTGAACAAGATCACGGTCAAGGACCGCCATCCTCTGCCGCTCCTCACTACCGCTCTGGATGCCATCTCCCAGGCACGGATCTTTACGAAACTGGATCTCCGGAGCGCCTACAATCTGGTCCGTATAAAGGCCGGGGATGAGTGGAAGACCGCGTTCATAACACCCACCGGCCACTGGGAGTACCTGGTTATGCCCTTCGGACTATGCAATAGCCCTGCTGTCTTCCAACGTCTCATTAATGATGTCCTCCGCGACATGCTGGGACTGTGGGTGTTCGCCTATCTGGACGATATACTGATCTACTCCAAATCCGAGGCCGAACACATCCATCATGTTCGCACCGTCCTGACCCAGCTCCTGGACCACAACCTGTACTGTAAACCCGAGAAATGCTCCTTCCATCAGCAGTCCATATCCTTCCTGGGCTACATGATCTCGGATGAAGGCATAACCATGGACCCTCAGAAAATCCAGGCGGTGAAGGACTGGCCCTTGCCAACCAGCCTGAAACAACTGCAGAGTTTTCTGGGTTTCTGCGACTTTTACCGCCGTTTCATAAAGAACTATAGCACCCTCGTAGCCCCTCTCACCTCTCTCACTCGACCAGGCTCCCCTGGCCAGCTGTTTCGTCTAACTCCAGACGCCATTCGGGCCTTCCGCCACCTGGTCACCCGCTTTACCTCAGCCCCGATCCTCCGCCATCCAGATCCTGCAGTTCCCTTTGTGGTCGAGGTCGACGCCTGACGTCGGCGCCGGCGCCATCCTGTCTCAAGGCGGGCCCGACGACAGGCTCCATCCCTGCGCCTACTTCTCCAGGAAGTTTTCCACCACCCAGCAGAAGTACGGTGTGGGCGACCGTGAGTTACTGGCCATAAAATGGGCATTGGAGGAATGGAGGCAGTGGCTTCTGGGCACCACTCGGCCTTTCACGATCTGGACTGACCATCAGAACCTGACCCACATTAAATCTGCCAAGCAGCTTAATCCTCGCCAGGCTCGCTGGGCCCTCTTCTTTGAACCCTACGACTTCCATCTCGCCTACCGCCCGGGAGCCAAGAACCAGAAGGCGGACGCCCTCTCCCGTCAATTCACCCACTCCACGCCCTCGTCCGAGCCAGCGCCAATCCTCCCGGAACACCGTTTCCTGGGCCAACTGAGGTGGCCGTTGGAGGAAGCTATCCAGAACGCCCTCCGGGACGACCCCGCGCCTCCAGAGACCCCCGCGGGTCGCCTCTATGTCCCCACGGCCTGTCGCAGTGAGGCGTTGTCCTGGGCCCACTCATCACGCCTGTCTGGCCACGCTGGTTTCTCCAGAACTCTTAAATTCCTCCAGCGAGCCCTCTGGTGGCCAGGCATGGCGAGGGATGTGAAAGAATACACCAGCGCCTGTGACGTCTGTGCCCGCTCCAAGAACCCCAACCAGGCCTCGGCTGGTGCCCTCCGACCTCTTCCGGTGCCCAGCCGCCCCTGGTCCCACGTGGGGCTGGACTTCGTCACGGGTCTCCCGCCGGTCAATAACCTCAACACTGTCATGACGGTTACGGACCGCTTTTCCAAGTCTGTCCATTTCATCGCCCTTCTGGGTCTCCCCTCAGCCCAACGCACAGCGGAACTGTTCCTGGAGAACGTGGTGCGCCTCCACAGGTTCCCAGTCGACTTGGTCTCGGATCGGGGGCCCCAGTTCACGGCCCGGTTCTGGAAAGCTTTCTGTCGGCTGATGGGAGCATCGGTCAGTCTATCTTCAGGCTACCACCCGCAGACCAATGGCCAGACGGAGCGGGCTAACCAACAGCTGGGTCGGTACCTTCGTTGTTTTGTCTCGGCTCAACGCTCGCAGTGGCCTAAATACCTCCTCTGGGCGGAGCTGTCCCACAATCTTCACACCTCATCTGCCACTCGGCTGTCCCCTTTCGAGGTCTGCTATGGCTTCCAGCCCCCGGTCTTTGCCCACCAAGAACCCGAGGTCGCCGTTCCGGCAGCGGAAGCCATGGTGAGACGCTGCAAGAACGCCTGGATCAAAGCACGAGCCTCCATAACCAGAGCTAACACCAGCTATGCTCACCAGCATCTCCGTCGACACCGTCCTGGTCCCTCCTATGCTCCTGGGGACAAGGTCTGGGTGTCCACGGCTGACCTTCGGGTCCGTGCCGGGTCCAAGAAACTCGCCCCTCGGTTCCTCGGCCCATACCCCATCCAAAGGGTCATCAACCCGGTCACGTACCGGTTGCGGCTGCCGGCTACTCTCCGCATCCATCCCACCTTCCATACCTCCCGGCTCAAGCCCTACGTGGAGTCCTCCCTTCTCTGGCTCCGGCGCCGCCTCCTGCCCGCTTCCTCGACGGTGAGCCTATCTACACCGTCCGGCGCATCCTGGACGCTCGCCGCAGGGGTCGGGGCTGGCAGTACCTGGTGGACTGGAAGGACTATGGCCCCGAGGAACGCTCCTGGGAGCCGGCTCGGTCCATCCTGGACCCTTCCCTGATCTCTGACTTCTGGGTCCGCCGGGGTCGCGCTGGGACTTCTGGAGCCGTCCCTGGACCGGGGGGTCCTGTCAGGACTCAGGTATCTCCCGGCTGACCTTCGGACCACAACTCCCGACATGCTCCTCGTGGGGAGCTCCCAGCGTGCTCCTCGCGGGGATTCCCTCCACGTCACAGCCAAGCAAGGCTATATATGGAAGACGCCGTGACCGGCTTCTCATCTCAGTCATCGTTTCTTCCTCACGGAGATATGACCAGAGAACTAATAAAACTATTAAACGTCTCACCTTGTTCGTCTCCTTCATCCAGTCTGATCAGCCCGACAGTAACAAAGGGCAGCCTTGGCAGAGTCCAACTCTCACTGGGAATGAGCCCGAATTAATGCCGGCAATGCGGACCAAGCTCTGACACCGGTCATACAGGGACCTAACAGCCCACATCAGAGTGCCTGGTACCCCATTCTACCAGAGTACCCCCACTCCGGGAGGATATCATCCACCCCCAGAGCCTTCAATTCAATTTTTCAATTCAAGTTTATTTTTATAGTAACCCAACCATGAGGCTACCACAGCTCAGCAGAACACCATTATAGCTTTATTTGGGGAAAAAACACTTAGAGAAAAAATAAAGTTTACCCTCTCAGGCTCAAAATAAGTTTTAATAAAAGGACGAACAACTAAGTCCGTCAGGGGTACTTTGGAGTTAAAAATGCTCATGAAATACGTATGTGGATTAACCAGGTAGGTAGGTAGGAAATAATGCAGTTAAAATACAAAGTGTA